AATTATGTGAGGGGGATAAAACCGCATTAAGGAAATGAAAAATGCTGCCATGTCACATTATCCTTACTGGATTGTTTTGTTCCAGAAAGCTGACTTGATTTTGAGCGACAGCTCCCCAAGGCGGGAGCAAAAGTCGGCCCTTCGCTCATCCATCAGCAGATCAACGCCGCTTTTACAAAATCTGCTCTTTTCTCTTACTTTGAAACTTTTTGAGAACCCTCACAGTCCCGGGCATCAAAGTGTATGACTAACTAAAGGCTCTGTCTGTCTGCTTCATTTTTCATGCCTCTTTTCTTGCTCTGCTGCTCTGAAGATGATGGATGCTCCTGAAATCTACGGGGACAGCCGGTCATTAGGCTTGAGGTAAAGTGAATCACGCTGCATGACTGTGCTGCGGAGGGTGCGGAGGGCCAGCAAAGAACGCTACAGAGAAAACGTAAGAGACAAGGGAGTTGGTTTGAGCAGTCTTGTTGGCTGACATTACAGAGTCACATTGTAATGTGGCAGATAATAGCCCGCAGGTCAGGCTGGAGGCCTGGAGAGCAGCCGGCACCTGCTGCCATTCACTCAAGGTGACAATAAGCCAATGTCGTCAAGTCCTAGATACGGCTCTGCCTCTAGGTTTGTGCATTTCAGAGAGGTTTTCAAACCATCTGTGCTGCTCACATAAATCCGGTAAAAACAAAAATAAATATGAAAGCACCTACCGCCTGCAACACAGCCACCCTGCATCTGAACTGATCTTCTCTACAAATCATACTGCATGCAACCACCCGTTACAGAACAAAAGCCCCACTATATTCTCTGCATGAGGCAAAAAGTCTTTGTTCCACAGCAGGTTTGGATATGCGAATGCATTTTTTTTTTTTGTCCCTTCCAGACTTCATGATTTTTACCTTGCACTTGAAAGGCAAAGGCAGAGCTTGTGCTTTAAAAGCAGGTCTCCAGCTGGCTACAAACAGCAGAGATAGAGGTCGATGCTCTCTAGTGCTGCCTCCGCTGAGCGGTCTACCCTTCAAACGTTCAGACAGCCATGAGAGCCCCAAGAGACCATAAGTTCCTGTTCTGTAGCCAGCTCTCACTGCTGCTGCCCTTCCTGAAAAAACACACACACACACACACACACACTCTAAGCGTTTAATTCACATCAGTATGTGAAACTTCAGCGAAGCTGCTTTTGCACCCCAGCATCACAGGGTGAAAAACACCTCTGAGGGAAGGAAAAAAGGAAGTCACAAACTTTACTGCCAAAACAACCTCGTGTGTTTTTAGGAATTAATTGAAGGCAGCTGGATTTTTTGGCACCAACAAGCAAATAACCAACTGATCTACCCTGGATGTGGCACCTCCCTCCAAGTAATTTAACTGTAGCACAGGTCACTGCAAGAGGGGAGAAAGAACTTAAATGTTTACTGCTGTTTATTTTTAAACTTGCAAATAATAAATTTAAAGTGAAGAATACCTGCCCTCTCTAATAATCATTAGACCTCAATGAGCTCCAAAAAAAGATCAAAGAAGGCGGCAGCTTCGCAAACTGAATTTTCAACAGCCAAACATACAGTAAAAACTTCAGAAAGACATTTGAGGAGGCAAAAATCAGAGCAGAAAGGGCCAGGACATCCTCACTTCTAGCACGGGTTCAGTGTGCTACGGTGCACTCCGAGTATGTTAAAATTTCCAGGTCAGGCTTTTACTTTCCCTCATCAAAGCAGACACTGAAACTGAAAGAGCACGAATTCAGTTGTTTTCCAAAGTGAATTCTTTATATGACTAATAAGTGACCTTTATGAAGAAAACAGGCGGAGTTCCCCATTTCAAATTACAGCACAATAACAGTTCAACACAGTGTTACTTTGAAGAGTGCTCCTTCCTCCAGCCTCGTTCGCATCCATCCAGGGAATGAAAACTGGATAAAACCCAAAAATAAATGAAACCATTAGCGAGCCGATCCGCTACCCCATTACTGACAATGCAAAATCAGTACAGCGGCAGCTCATCCGCGTGGGAGCAGATTGTTGAACAAGTACCGGTTCAGTCATTTTTCAAGAGGTTTGCAGGGCTCTTCACAGCAGCCTGCCATCAGCTTCTGTAAGTACACCTCACACTCAGCAGTAAACAGAGGGACCGTGCGTGCACACGGATAGAGGTTCGGCTCTGTGGGCAGCAGAAAATTACACTCGTCAGCCTCTTATGAGAGCCACATGACAGCAGCCGTCCCCCTCACCGGCAGCACAGTCAGATGTGAGCGCTGTGGTAACAGCACTTTTCTGCTTGGATGAACTCTAGTCAGACAGCTGAAAGTCACCTGCTTTAAGTCAAAAATAGTCCTGGTTCATCTGCCGTCACGGTTTGAAAGTGTCACACCTTTGATGTGCATGTCAGACATTAATTTTTGAAACCTAAGCTAAAATCCTTGTCTTTAAATACATGCATATCTACAAACAGTAAGACTGCACACATTTTGTACTAAGAAAATGTAAGCCGACAGCTCAGAACCTCACTCCTGGAGAGTCCTATATAAAAGACTAGCACAATGATTCCAGAGCCCTCAACCTTCAGCTTGCCCATTATTGCTTGCAATTTTTGGTACCGATCTTGTAAAGGAGAAACACACACACCTGAAGCGCCTTAGATGTTTACAGATACGACATCAACATGAGGCTGAAAGATTTGAAGACCAGTGAGCATCTTTTAAGTGCAAGCTACCAGCTGCAGAAAACCTACCCTACTAATATTCTTCAAATTTAGTGCAGAACATTTGCAGACTTGCAAAGTTTGTGTTCATGTTGTGCCGTACATGAACAGTAACATGTCCAAGCTGAAGTCCAGTTCCCCTTATGCTCCCAACTCTAGTTTTATGTAGCACTACTGCCATCTGGTGGTAACACACAAGCAGGCCAAGGCAAAGGGATAAAGTTTTATTGAATTACGAAATATAAACATACAAGAACGACCTGCAACAAAGACACTCAATATGACACGCTAAACAGCAGGGCAGGAGACTTCAGGAGTGGGCACATCAACTCCCTGTAGAGACAAGAAAGCTGAGCTGATTCAGCCGTTCAACAATTCGTTTACAGAACCGTGCCGCCACTCAGCTCACCGTGTTCACGTCATCAATGACGACATCCTTCTCCGAAACCTCAAGGTCACTTTCTGTGTCATTGTGCGAGCGGTATTCTTCACTCTCCGTCTCTACAGAGCTGGGCTTTAAAAGAAAAGCGGCCATGTTTTAAGATGCACTTCATGTCTGTAACTAAAATTAAAGCCACAGGCTAAAGAAACCAAGCGTGTGGTCTCTGGAGTGAGTTTTACAACTTTAAATTTACAGCTCTGCATAAAACTAATGGGGGAGAAAAATACACAGCAGAGTTTGCTTCCTTGTCTCCCCCCCCCCCGCACAATACCAACCTCATAGTCAGGGTCAACCTCAGGTCCATCATCGTCAGCAAGCTCCTGAGAGAGCGCCTCCACCCAAGTCTGCTGCTCCTCCACATCATCGTCCTCCTCATCCTCGTCATCTACGTCATCCTGTTTTCTCTTACTGCCCTTTCCACAGGGCTTTGCAGGAGACACTCTGATTTCTGTTCACAAAGCATGACCTTTCATGACGCAGTGTTCACTCAATTTCAGAGAAAACTTTAAAATTCATTTATATTTAAACCTTCAAGCAGGAGAAAAACACTTTAATTAAATCATGTACAAGAGTGTCCTGCTCAGAGGGGACAACAGTACAATCATAAGTTCCATATACTGTATGGCACATCCAAACACTACTTAAGCACAAACAATATAACACTTATAAACTTCAGGATCAAAGAATGAATACCTAGTGAAAGTAAACTGAACTTTCCACGAGTGTCTGAAATTCTTAGGTTTTGTTCAGTAAGCGGCTGCAGAAGGCCAGACAACTTTTTAATTAGACATAAGGCTGCTTAGTCAATCAGCTTTTTAACAAGAGGTTCAGATAAACATTGTTTTACTGCTGAATTGCTCAAACCGTTTGTTTCATGATTCTAAACAGAGTCCCTCAGTAACTCTAAAAACAGAAATATTCTGTAGGCAAAGCTGCAAGCCAGCAGTTATTCACATTAACAGTTGAAGAGTCAAAGGTAAAACGTAGAGCCAGTACAAGTACATTTGGCCCCATTTTCAAATTCTTTTCTCTACTAACGTCACAAACTGTCATCTAATTGTCTCCACTGACTTATTTTAAGTATCAGCCGTGTCTGAACAGTGTGACAGTGGGATCAGTCCGTGTCCTGTTCATATTATTCGACAAAATAAACAACATGCACCTACCTGGGGACAGGGACAGTCCGATTCTGCTGGACACCGGATAGCCGAGGGCACTCTGCATCCAGCGGGGCAGGACGTACAGCAGCAGGCGGGTGACCCGGCTCAGGCGCTTGCGGCCTGTGAGGCTCAGGCGCCCAGGGCTGGAAACCGTGGGGTTAACGAGGACGTTTTCCTTTGTCTGCCGTAAGCCCAGCACCCACCAAAAGCCGCGGTATGCACGCACCTGCAAATCAGAGCAATGTTACTTTAGCTAAAGCTGGAGAGAGGGGTGTAACTTTGTCAGCTACGTACAACGATGCCAAAGGGCCAGAAGAGGCCGCGCAGCAGGGAGGGAAGCACCCCGTCTCTCCTCACAACTCTGTCCTGCAGGTAAGTAGACACGACCGGTGAAAAAAAAAAACAAAACACAAACAGCCTTCCTGCTAGTGCGAGAGGACCCGAGCAGCTAGCAGAAGCGAGAAGTCCCCCTCTCCTTTACCTCAGTATTGTTAGTCTGGACCCGGACCTGATCCTGCTCCACCTCCACAACTTCGCTGACGCCCTCAAGACTCATTCTTCTGCGGGCTAAAACCTGAAGCCGGAGGGCTGCGATAGACCGAGGACGAACTGAGACACCACAGCTTGTGAAGGAGTTAGAGCATGAAATGTACCCTGAAGCGTCAACGCTGCAGCCAATCAATGCAGACAAATGCACCTGCTGCAATCAGCGCGAGCCAATGAGCAAATCGCCAATTAACCTCCATCAGGCCAAAAAAGGCGGGCAAAACGGTTTGGACTGGGAGGGATCACAAACGGGTAATGGAAAACTTAAAATGCAGCCGTGAAATATACACGTGTCTCTGCAACTGAAAAATATATATGTTTAATATCAGCGCTTAAACATGCGATCTGTAAGTCAAAGTTTTGGGTTGTAATCTCAAAATTTCTGCTACATAACTTGAATTTCGGGGGGGCAACTTCTTGTTATTTTTACGTTACTAAGTCTAAGACCAACGCCAAAATTTACTTCAAGCCCAGTTTAGTTAGAAAGTTGAAATGTATTATTTTATTTATTTTTTAAAATGTATTATTCATTTATATCTCTGTCGATATAAAGGCCGGGTTCTTGAAAGATGGGAATAAACCATACTGGCCCCATTAACAAAGACTGCCTCCAGACTGCAGGGAACTGTGCTACTGTTGGTGGAAGAGTGGATGTAAGATTAGGGACTCTAAATGTAGGGACAGTGCAGAAGGTTGGATGTCAAAGGTCGGGTGTGATGGAGGCAGATGAAGCACTGTGGTGAGTCCTAAATAGAGCAGCTGAAAGAAGGAGAAGGCTAACATTTGTAATATAAAGTTATTTCCTAAGAAAATGTTTTATTGTCACAGAAGCTTGCTTTCTGCCCACCTCTGATCAGATCAGCTGGGTGGCCTGTGTGTGCTGTTTTACCGACAGGGACGTTGCAGAGCGCCCTCTGGTGGACAAACATTCCAACATCAACAATCATAAAATACAAGTGTTTGTGTTTCCCTTTTTTAATTTTTAATTTTCATTTAACGGCCATTATAATTGTAGATACCGATGTATCAGCTAAAATCAGCCCCACTTATATACTGGGTGGGTTTTACAGTTTATTAATCAACAGAACAGTTTCCTAGAACTTTTTAAATATCACAGATAAATATTTACTTTGTAGAATTCATACATATTTGCAGCTTAGCTGTTTGTTTTTAAACATCCTTTTTGCAAAAGCTGCAATTTTACAAAATCGAATTTATAAGGGAGCGATGGGTACTCTTCACTGTTTTATTAGTCACTAATAAAATATGCAATAGCACCTGTCCCACTGCAAATAAAAAAAAAAAATGTGCGAATCTTAAAATGTTAAACAAGTTTCTTTTCAAAATCTAAACCCTTTATGTAGTTACCAGAATACAACATCTGTCCTGCGTGCTCCTTGGCACACAAAGAGGTTTAAAAAAGAGGCCCATCATTAAGCTTCCATACTTGACAGTTTCCCTAATTGGAAACTGTTTCCGCTACCTGTCTTCGTCACATTTACGCACCCTTTGATGCATTTGCTGGAAGACAAAGGGATGTGGAAAAGCATAAAAGGTGCCTCTCCCCACTCCTATTTCAAAATCTACAGACGCTCCGAGCCTGTGTGCAGAGAGGGTTAAAGAGATTTAAACATGAATAAGAATCCCGTCACCAGAACGTTCACCATTGGAGCTATCTGCAGTGGAAGCAAAGCTTCAGATGATTTCCCCACAGGACGTAGGCACAGCAGTGCAGGGATCCAGGCGCTTTCGTGGGCTACCGGCACCGTAAAGTCCTTCGATTCCCATGAGAACATTTTTCCAAATATCCTGACTCCTGACAGCATCCCACAGTTCACCATTCCAAGTCTGTCTGTGCAGACTGGCTTCAGATCACTGGACAAGGAAAGTAACAAAGAGAGAGAAGGGGGCTCAGAGATGACGCCAGAATCCTCAGTTTCTTCGGCCTGCGCCACGGTCTCGTCATCTGCATCATTCTCCAGCTTTGCTTTAGTTCGGTCAGAGCGCAAAGCTGAGCGGTGTGTTTCAGACCCTTTAACCAAGAGGAGATCTCTCCTTCAGAGGGAGCTGCACTCTCCTTGCTCCTACAGTGAGACCCAGCATTGCCTTGACCCCGCAAGCAAAGCCGCTCTCTCCCTGCCGCACTTGACCAAAATCACCACCCCCTACGGCTTCGTCACCTTAAGTCAGAGCCCCCAGATGGCAAGCGAGGAGGCACTTCTCTACCAAGCAGGCCCGCACCGCTTAAATAAAGATGACAAGAATTCATACTGGCTCAGCAGAGCTCCCGGGAAAAGCACAGAAGACATTAAAGGCAAGTCCTCCCACCTGTCAGGGCCGGAGAAGAGACTATCCAAACACTTGGCTGACTCACAGTCTAAGAGAGCACTACAGGCTTCTTCTGCCTCCTCCACCACAGTTTCATCGTCTCCACCACCAAGGCAACCAGATGAGAGGCACAAACCCCGCTTCTACGAGGTCATAAAGAAACACTTCATCTCCCGCCATTAGAAACATCACTATATATTTGACTGTGTGGTAACAATGCCAAGAAAATATGTTATGTATTTATTTAAATTTGCATGTAAAAATAAAAGTTTTCCTCCCGTGTAAAACACTGAAAACTAATTAAATTGTACCAGATTTTGTCACTACTCTGGTGTCACTTTCAAATATCGATTTAGTATTGAAGCACCTGGTTCTGGTTAACCAAATTTCAGAACCCTTTGGGACATTTTTTCAGGTCTTCTGGTATACCCACCACACGTCTGGTAAACACTTCCTCTTCTGTCTGCTTGTCATTGCACACATTGAATACTGAAAAAAAAATTAAATGCTTATCACACCGTCACAAGGTTTCGAGACAGCTTGTCTGTATACCTGCATGCAACTAAAACTCAGACATGATTGGTTAATACAACCAGACACAAAGCAGAAGTGGTTTGTTTCGCAAAGAGTTCAAAGTCTAGAGCTGAGCACAGAGGAAGATCACCTTTAAGATTCACTGAGGATATTCCACATCACCCGTGAGGTTAAGGTTAATGGATTCCTCTATCGCTTAAATGTCAGTCACTCTCAGTTTGCCTGCTCCTATTCACTTCCTCGCTGAACACGTATTTATGAGCCCTGAGTCCTGCAGCGCTGAATGCGTCCTTCTGCCAGATGAACCAAGCGCTTGCTCTTTAGCATATGAAGAGACCGCTGGTCGCCTAATACATCCTTGGAGCATGCGTCCTTAACCCTCCCACACACTGAAATTAAGCAGGTAAATATCATTATGGCCCAGAGTACCCTTATCTAAGCCGAGGGCGAGGGATACACAAGGCTGACCCTTGAACACGGGAATAGATAAAGGTGATCTAAATTTAAAATCACCCGCCGTGCTGTTTCTGTGCGTGATTTAGGCCGTTCCTCGTGGCAGACAGGGGTTTCAGCTTTAATGAAAGTAAAACAGGAGGAGATGAAAGAAAAAAGGCATGCAGAACATCTGTGTTGATTAATATAAAACAAGTTGGAGAGGTTCATATCACAGTCTATCTGAATGTATTTTTATTGTGTTGTTATTGTATGTTCCTTAAATTGGACTCCACTGGTCAATATAACAATACAAACAAAAGCTGAATATTATTAGTTGAATTTTTTTTCCTTTTTTTTTTTTTTGCTTTATTTTAACATGTGCTGACTGTGGAGTTTGCATGTTGTCCCTGTGCGTGGGTTAAAGTCACCTTATGCAGATGCAAGAGAGATGTTTGTATTTCCTGTCTCAGAGCGATGCTGAGAAACACGCATTCATTACTTCTAGGCTGAAATATTCATTTTATCAGGTCAATCCAAAACACCACAGTGAGTGTACTGACAGGGAAAAGAAAGAGACATATAGACAGACCTCATGGTACCTTATATCCCAACAGAGCTCTTCGCTCTCAGACTGCCGGTTTACTTGTGGTTTGTATGACATTTAAAAGTAAAATGAGAACCTGCTCCCTCTACTTTCAAGAGACTCTAAACCTTCGTGTTTGATAAAGCAACCTAGAAACCCAGAAACCTAAAAGATTCAGAGAGTTTCTCTCATCCCAACCGGTCGCAGCAGATGGCCGCCCCTCCCTGAGCCTGGTTCTGCCGGAGGTTTCTTCCTGTTAAAAGGGAGTTTTTCCTTCCCACTGTCACCAAAGTGCTTGCTCATAGGGGGTCATATTATTGTTGAATTTTTCTCTGTATGTATTATTGTAAGGTCTGCCTTACAATATAAAGCACCTTGAGGCGGCTGTTGTTGTGATTTGGTGTTGTATAAATAAAATTGAATTGATTTAAAGAGGAGTGGGCCAAAATTCTCCTGAGCAACAACAAGAAACATCTCACTGCTGTTCTCACCAACAAGGGTTTCTTAACTAAGTACTCACTCATGCTTTGCTTGGGGACCAAATACTTATTTCATTCTATGACACACAGATGAGTTTGTTTTTTGAAATGTGGTTTTTCTGGATGCATACATAAGACTGGATGCACAGTGACATCTGGATTTTGGGTTGAGTTGGGAGATTTAAAAGAAATCAAACCAGAAGATATTTTAATCCAGATGAGCTCAGATATTTTGGGCATTCTAGTTTTGACACTGTGTAAGTACACTGGCTTTAAAGTTAAATGTCAGCTGAGGAGAGTTTGTTTGGCAGGAATGAGGCAGCGTGACCCACATTGTATTTGTGACCCTCTGATGTGCGCGTCCTTCTTCATTTCAGTTCTCAGACAGAAGTGAAAATTCAAAAGAAATTGGTCTGGTTACTTTCACTGAAAACACAGAAAGAGATTCAGCACTAACGGCCTTCGTCACCGCCACCGTGCTGGAAGCCTCCACGGACTCCACAGTCAGCCATGATTACACGCTTTTACATGTGTTTATCAGTGACCTGCTGACTGCTGCAGTGAGTGTAAATATAACAGATACTGAAAAACTGCTTTTAGCCAGAGACATTCTGGGATAGGACTACATTAAGGGAGCTTCATGGTGCAGAAACCAGCTGTACACAGAGATTAAAATATCATACAGCAACCTGTGTGTGCGCATGTGTGTGCATGTGTGTGCATGTGAGGAGGGTTTCATACATGTCTCCGTTTATCAGTTGCATCACACACGTTTCATCACGCCTACCTAAATAATCAAACCTTGTCCCCTGTAGTCAGGTGTTGATGCTGTCACACGGTTGTTTTTCTGTGCTGGCAGAGTGCGGTTGTAAGATTAAACTTTCTGCAGTCATTCATGTAATCAGAATATGAATATGAATTTCCTGTGTTTCCTGTCGCACTGTTTTCTCTTCAGGTGCACTTTAGTGTCAGTATTTGTGATCAGTAAACTATCCCTGGATCAAGTTAAGATTATATTCCAGACATTCATTCAAAGAGATTTAAGGAACACCAACAGAAACACGGGCAGATGTTTATCAGAAGGCAGTTATTTGGTGTTTCCACCTGCACAAATATGTTTTCCTTCCATTTAAACCAGCGGTAGCAAGTACTTCAGAGAGCAGCGCATGCATGAAAGCTACAAGTGCATCGGGCACATGAGAAAACCTAAACAGCACATGCAGATCAACTGCAACTGACAGAAGGGAGCAAAAATGAGTGCATGCTGAAGGTGCTCCGCTGTAACTGCTCTTCCCCATTTTGACAAGCTGAGGTTAGCTCAGAGAGCAGCTTTGCCCTCAGAACAGACATAACTTTTCCGGTGCCAACCTCAAAGTCTAACTAGAAACGATTAGAACGAAAGATAAGCAGGGCAGCCTCAAGAAGACACAAGTTTGCTTTAAAAATGTGCGACTACACGTGTGTGACTGTGAGAGGCAGCGAAACGCAGCAGGGGGAGTAACTGAAGCGGATGGGAAGTGTTTTATACTGACTGAGCTGGCCCCCTGAGCTTCACATGCACTCAGTTCAGTGACAGAAGCAAAGTGTGAGAGAAGTGGAAGAGCGGGTTAGGTGTTAGATTCCCGATGGCGTCTGCTTCAAGCAGCAGAGTGGATGAGCAGCCGCCGGCACTGCCTGTCAAACAGCACAGGTAAGCATTATCTTTCTGTCAGAAGGAGAAACTTTTATGTCTCCTTTTGACATGTTTTTCATTGAATTTTAATAATATTTTCACTCCACACCCAAACCTGACAATGGAGCAGCAGGCAGCTTTTGCTGTGCATATATTGCAATTGCATGTATTTCCTCAGGCATTCCAGCGTGGAGTCTGACTGCAGCCCTGGGGTACCACAGCATCAAAGTTCCGCATACAACGATGTCTTTCCTGAACCCACCGACTGCAATGCAGCCCAGTGCCCCATACACCAACGCTACGGTAGGTTTGGAGAACGATGACACCAAAATATCTCTGCAACAATAAATTAGGCAAATAGCACTGTGGTTTACTGATTATTGAAGTATATGGCTCGGTGTGATGGGAAAAAAATACTATTACATCTGGTTCTTTTTTCTCAGTTCGCCTTTCAGTTCATGAGAACTCGAGAGGAAGTCACCTTACAAAACTTTTACTTTCACTGAAAAGGCAAACGGGGTAAATGTCCTTATACTGAATGACTCCTTTGGAGGTGTGATTGTACTATGCAAGCAAGTTCCTCTCAAATAGGAGTGTCAAACTTTCTCTGGGCCACATGCATTCAGTTTCATATTAAGTAGGCTGCACCAGAAAAAGAAACTACTACTAAACAATTAATAATGAAGTACATTCTTAAAATATTCCCATTTATTGAGCCAACCCTCACCGATCAGCTCATGAACAGTCAGTGTTGTTTTTGTAAACATAAGTGCAGTTTCAGCAGTATGTCTGTTTTACAAAACTATTTTACCTCAATGTGTCTCTGTATTGTGTTTAAACTACTTCCCCTTCTTTGCCTGCTGTTGTTCTCTGACTTTAATTCCTCTGATGGTGTTGCTCAGATCCGTGCAGACACCTGGAGAGATTTTACTCTGATATCAACCCACCGCCTGTCCCGAAGAAGAGGTTACATCGTGCTTTATCCCTCCCGCCCACCAATGTGCCTTCGTTGCCTCACACGTCACCCTTTTCTCCTCTGCAAAGATTCCCCCAGAACTTTGACAATCCGCTGTACATGATGGCACCCAAACAAGATCTTTTTTTCTCAGAGGAGCTAGAAGAGTTTAAACCATCCACGAGCAGTCCTGTCTCCGTAGTGTCCTTCTCCCAGCTGTCGTTTGACACTCCGGACGAAGATCTTCCCTACATCTTCCACAGCTTTGTCGACCAGGGGGTTGTTTCTCATGGGATTCAGCATCGCCATCTACTCTTTCTTAGAAGCATGGCACAGACTGTGGAGGCAAGGAATCTGCTAGAGGGCTCTAGAAGGGATGTGAGCTCATACCAGCCTCAGGATTTCCTCTTGCATAAGGGCAGCCAGCCAAAGAAGATTGGAAACATGACTTACTACAGCCTGCACAGCCCAAAGTTCCCACAGAGAGTGCTCGGTTTAAGGGTAATGTTGCATGTCGTTTATTCATTTTGCATAGTTTACAACCAGCTCTGTGTGCATGTTGTGATTTGTAGTTGTTACATTTCCCTTGAAATTGTCTGCAAAACCAAGTGGTAGGAATGTTGCTCATAGCAACCAGTAAAACAAATATGATCTTTATCGGCACTTGCAAGTGCTACAATGGCTTGTGGTGGCAAAAACGCTTCCTCTGAACTATAGTATACCCACGGCTGCAGCAGAGTCGACTTTTTTTGACATATTTATCACTCGGCACTTCAGTGGTTTGATTGCTGCTTCTCTGTGCAGGTACACAAACACATTGATGAGGTTTTCTCCACTCAAATCCAGCGGCAGCCGCCACACGTCAACGTGCGAGATGTTATTACTTATTTCCCAACCAGCAACAGCTACAGAACCAGTGAAACTCGAGATCCTGCTAATCCACCAGGTGGAAGCAGCACTGAGCGTGCAGCAGAAGCCACGAACCTCTGCAAGCTCACAGTTCAGTCTTTCCTCCAGAAAGGCCAGGCCGTGAGCGTGGAAAGAGACCTGCCACACGCCAGCCTGGATGATTTTGTTAAAGACAGCAGCTCGCTGCAGAGCACAGACTCTGTGCGTTATTATAGACAGGTGTGTGCTCTGTTGCTGCAGATATTAATGGGTACACACCATCTATACAGTAAGAGAGGCACTGCAGCTGAGCTCAAACCCCAGGAGATCCTTCTAGTGTGGCCCGATGGGAAGAGGGACAAGGCAGAAAACAACTTGAATAAGGACGCCTCTGAGGAGAAGGAAGAAACGGAGTGGGTAAACACTCCAGAAAAAGGGAGGATTCAGACGTTATGGAAGACGAGAGGCTGTCCTCGTGTGGTGCTAAAGCCACAGACTTTCGCTCAACCCCTCACCTCCATCAAATCTCAAATTACAGCTTTAATCCAGGCCTGCTGGCAAGAGAGTGCGACATCTCCGGGTTCAGTACCAGATGTTTGCAAATCCTCCTACCAAAAAGGGCTTCTTCATCTGTCCTCTCTGCTTGAGAGCGACAGCGGGGCTCAGATGGTGGACATGGTAGCCATGCTTCAGGTGCTCCTCTGGGGCCCACACGTCTCTATCTTCAACCAAGGAGGCCCTGCAGCCACCATTATACATAACTGGCTGACAGTCAAGCGGGCGCTGCTGGTTATGAAGTTGGCCGAAAAGGGGCTGATCGAGGATCGGTCTCTTCTGGACTGGGAGGACTGTATGTGCTTGCAGTATCTGTCCTTTACAGACTCTGAAACAGTTGCGAGTGTGGCCAATGAGCTGTGGCACACAGTGAACGCTGAGCAAAGTTTATAGTCGATATCAAAGGAGTCCGTCGTTATCACCCGACTGAAAGGGAAAAACAGTCCAGATTGAGGAATAATCCACTTCAGTGCATTCTCCTTCATCAGCTGTTCATGTGCTGCACTTCCTAATGTAAAACTAGTCTATTAAAAAGACTCCACTGGTTTAAAAAAAAAAAAAAAAGGCTGTTTTATCAACTTCATCTGACTCTTGTGTCAGTTTTTGTCTGTACACTTTACTTCTGTCTAGTTATTGGGTGGGTTTCAAGTTAAAAAAAAAAAGAAAAAAAAAAGGTGTGAAGGTGGGGCATGGTTTCTGTTCTCAAGACCTTCACAAAAATACTGTGTGTAAATGAATGCGACTTCATGCAGGTTGTTGACTTTCTGAAGGGGATTAACCTTATTCCCCGTATCCCAAATCAAGACGTTACGAAATGCAGCCAGGAGCTTACACAACTACTACTGGCTCTAGCTTTGGCTAACACAACTAAATGCTTTCTCCTTTTAGAGGGTGTAATTATGTTTCATGACACCACAGAAACCACAGTTTAAGGTGAGCACTTTTATTTAGTACAGTTACAACATGCACGTCCCTATCAAGTGTATCGAAACAAATTAAAATCATGCACACATTAAAAAAAAAAAATCAACAGGAGAATCAACTGAAATCTATATTTCTAATTACATGAGTAAGCTCAATATAACTCATAAATATATTTGAGATGATGAGGGTTTAGAGAGAACGAGCAGGAAGCCAACACTACACATCAGGGAAAGTATCACAGCAGTAAGGATGCATTGCCCAAATATTACGTGTCGCTTGATTTACATTCCTGACATATTAACATCTTACCCTAGTGCAAATCGTAATGAAACACAGCACATGGCAGGTAAAACACACCTCAACCATACTGAGCTTGGATGACATTTTTATAAACAAAATTATAAAGATGTGGTTGTGGATTGAAATAAAAAACAACAAACAAAAAAAAAGATTTTTAACTGCTCAGCGTAATTTTAATCATCATCTGAAGAGTCACGCTCGATGCTGTAAGCCATGAAGAAAGCGTCAGGGCGGGAAGGGACGAGGGGATGACCTGGTCTCACAATCTCAAAGCCCAGGAAACTGAATGTACGCAGCAAGGATGCTATGGAGGACGACACAAGGAGAGATCAGAACAGAGCAAAAGCAGCTCATCTTCCATGAACATATAGACACGACACTGCCGCTGTGAGTGTGCTGAAAAGCATCGTGCAGAGAAAAGCTCTCAGCACTGTAAACACATCAGTACAGACTTGGACCAGATGTTAGAATCAACACACCCGTGACATTTCATAATTACACTGTTCACTAACAGCATCTGTGGTGGTACAGTGGATATTAGTCTGCATAACATGAGTAAGTTAGTTAATTATTAGATAAATCAGCAAGACTGTGCTCAGAAACATCCGGCACGTGTTGCAACATCTGAGCTCTTTAACGAAGAGTCTGGCCTGAGTCCAGTGCTACTTATTTTTGGAGTCGTGAGCAGTACATCGCACATTTATTACAGGTCTGGAAACTAGTGTGAAGAGGTAATGAGGTTCATAACATCTGCAGGCAGTATGCATTTAAAACATGCTTAACAACAAAACATTACTCTGTTTCCTGATATAGCTCAGTATTTTATATAAAGCGTTAACAGTTTTAATTTGCATCAAAGAAAAAACAAAAAAACCCTCACCTCTATCATCACGGCTCTTATGAAAACAGATGAAAACGTGGTCAACCTGCAGCTGCTCTTCTGCAAACTCCAGCAGAAGGGCAAAACTGGAAAGAAACAGAGCAAACAAGAAGGGTTAATGTTTTGTCAGAGGGTTGTTAATAATTTGAGGCAGAGCACATTTCACCCAAAGATTAGAGGTCCTTCGTTTATTTATTTATTTTTTTCCAAATACCATTTTTGCTTTTAAGATTTTTTTTTCCAGTGTGGATGTGAATATTATTATACCTGCCTATATACTGCATCAGGAAACACGAGTAGATGTGTGTTTCTGCTTTAGCAGTTACCAGTAAGTAAAAGCGTCTGGTCTACTTCCTCTTACTTGAATCACTTGCAAACAAGTTTTGCCTGCTCACCTGTCTTTGCTGCCCTCGGGCAAAGCTCCAGGAGGGATTTCAACGTACAGGTTTCCTCCTTTCAGCGCCGCCCTCCATACACAGTGCTTTCCTTCGGAGCGCCGGGGCTCAAAGAGTAAGAAGCGCACTCTGCTATTGGCAGGGGAAGGTTCCTCAAGAACCAGCAACTGAGCATCCTGGGAAAGTGTATTTTAGGTTATGTTAAAAATTAAATTGCACATACCAGCAGGGAAATTTCTGTATTTCTTTTTAAGCTTTCATCACTTACAGAATAGAACAGCTTAGCTGAAAGATTGCGATCCCGTTGGTCATTCCCTCGCCCACCTGGGATCTTCAGGGGTGGGAGAGGGGCATCAGGAGCACCACAGAGGCCCCGGACACGGGTTACTGCAACAGCGGGAGCACCTCAAAGGACTTGAGATACTGGATAGCGAAACAAACGCACACACAGATGGAACCATCATGAGCTGGGTATTCAGTCGAGATTCTGCTACCAAACACAAACCAAACTCTTTATAAGCAGCAGGTTCGGCACAAATTAAACTGCCGAGTGACTCATCTGCAATACTGCAGTAAAACATTTGCTAACCCCGAGTGAGTCTTCAGACACAAAAGCACAAGACTGGGGGAACCGGTTCAATCAATAACCGTTCCTGTGTTGAGCACAGATGCGTGCATGACGTGCCGACAGATGAGGAACGCGTAACGGAAAGGAGAAGTGGTTTATGTCACACCACCACATCACTGATGCCTCACTTAAACTGTTAGCAATTTTCTGTCAGCTGTCAGTCAAATATTGACCACCAACTATGAGAAATTGTTTGCTTTTGTCTCACAAAGACACATCGAGGCTACGGCTCATGTGGGAAAGGAAGCAAACTTCAGAAAGCTGACGTTTGTCAGGCACACTTCTGCTGCGGTCACTTTAAGCTTGTTCCACGGTTCTCACAGGAAACCTGCCAGAAGAACGGGCTATTTTTTCCTCTAGCCACTAGCCTACTTTAGCCCTTCACTCACTGTGTAGCTCCAGTTTAAGAGACGGGGATAAACAATACTCAACAGCCGTTATAATCCAGTGCTGTGTCACAGCACTCCTCAGATTTAGCTTGCTGTGACTGCATACATTTACAGCTTTGAGCAAAGGCCTGTTCACTGGGATTCTATTAGGAACAAAAATAACAGCACCGCAAACACCATCACACACAGAGATGCTCTCTTACGCAAATGCCACCAATGCGCTACATGTTGAGCAGAGGTGCGGAAACCAGTGTCATTTGCAGTGTGTAATATTCAACTTATGATCTCACAGAGGATTGGGATTTTAACCAAATGCAGTTACTCCCTAAATCCAGTAATCAGATTAGGAAAGGAAGCCACTTGCCATCCTTGCAGAACCCCTCAACGCCTCCTCCCTGCGATTTAAAGAGAACACGAAGTTCTCAGTCAGTTTCTACCTTTAGCGTTCTTTGAGACTGACATGTGAACAGTAGGCAGCACCGCACAATGACACCCTGGGGGTCATCTTAATAAAAACAGCTGCCGTGAATAGTGTTTGTAGGAGAGTCTGCTGTAAATGAACATCATTGTAAAGGACATCTGCACTAAATCTCATGCATCCATCTAGCAGAGAATCATCTTTAATCTGATGTTCTAGCCTGCACTGTTATAATGAGACTCTTTAATGTAGTATGACATTTGCGATGTGGTTTTTTTTTAGCTCACCTAACACGTTCTGGCTTTCAACAAAAGACAAATTAGCAGGTTAAAAAGGTAACATTCTTTAATGCGGGGTTAAATTTGCACAAGTTTAAATACCTTTGATTTTATCAGGTGGTCAAAGATGAAAAGAATGAAAAGAAAAGGCCTAGCCTTCTCTTAAGGTAACAGACTTTTTTACCTTGGGAGGGGGGAGGCTATTAGCTGCTATAATAGATGTTATTTTAATGCATGCTTTATTATTGGAAGATGTGGATGTTAAACCACCCTTATCGCACATGATAGCTCTGTGTCAGTATATTCATAAAGCCATTTTTCAAGCTTCGGCTTAAAGAGAAACACTATTATATAATATACATACATAATATCTAACCATGACAATTACATAACTATATCCAACTTCCAACCAACTAGTTGCCACGAGAAGCAAAAATACATCAAGATTTGTGTGTAGGCCATAACTTCCAAAATTCCCCATACAGCACCCACCCTGCCCCCCTCCGTCCCTCCTCCCCCGCAGTGGAAATTTCCTATGAGCGCCTCAAACACTATAGATCAGCACAAACAGAGCGCGTCAACAAATCCTGTCAGGGCACGAGTGGTGCAACCACAACCGACCACCAGACTAGGTTAATCGCTAACAACCAGTTTCGAGGCATCCATCCCCACCAGTCTCCTCACTTCCAGTCAATCGGTACTTTAACTGCACCCAAACAGGCACACGGCTTGCTGAAGAATGGCCGCATAAATCAAACCGAATCGGATTAAAAACATTACAAAGGTTCTTCTGAACGTCGGTAAAACGTATTCCCTGTCCGCCCACCTGGAACCCGTGTTTTCCAGAAGTTACTGGGTGTCTTATCGTGGGTTCAGAAGGGCGAAAATAAAAAAATAAAATAAAATATATAAATAAATAAGAAAATCCCTGAAACCACGAATTAATCCGTACAGCCATCATTTTAACTACATGGTTAGCTAACTTTACATAACCCCGCGCAAAAAATTTCGTACTAATTCTACATCACAAAAGCCACATCAAAAAAGATAGTAACATGGTTTCAAAGCCATTGATCATTTCCATTGCCAAGGACGAAAATATGAACGCATCCGTCAGATTACCTAATGCTAAAGAGCTAGCATTTAGCTTAAATGTCTACGCTAATATTTAAAGGGGAAACACACCTAGTAATGATAAAACACTCTTATTCCGCTTTTTAACGCGCAAAATTTGTATTTTAAATGTTATAAATTATAATTCTAGTCGCAACCAGGTCTTAATAGAAAACCTTACGACACGTTAGCCCAGCCATCGATAACGCGAACCTGTGGCGTTTGACATATTAGCTGACGCGTTAGCATCTGTGAAGCTACCAAAGCAGCGCTGTCACTTCTAACATTTTGGTCATAATCCCGGTACTACGGTGTATTTAAGGTGATTAATATACATCTTTTATGAAATTGAAATAAGCTACCTGTGATTAATAATGTTCTCTAGAAATGTCAACTGAAATAAGTGTCGCTGTTATGTAAACATGAAAGGCTGTGCTAGTCGCCCCACAGCGTATGCGAAAGCTAGGCCGCGGTTTTTAAACGTAGCTTAGCTTAGCTCACTGAGAGCAGCTGACACGGACCACAACATACCTTTCACTTTCAGGTTTATTACTGGACTTCTCGATAACAGGCATCTCGGGTAAGTTTCTCTCTTTTTCTCTAGCAAAACAGTGACTATTCAAAATCGTCTGTAGGTTAGATTTAACCATCCGGCCAGCGTCCACACCAGCTGCTCCCTCTGTCCTCTCCTCGTCACCGTA